TCCAGGTTCAGTTCACTCAGCCAATTAGATTTCACGTAGTATTTTCATCGGTCAGTTGTGGAGGTCTGATTGTTTTAAGCTTTGTTTATTTAGCACCTTTTTAAACAGTGTATACAAAGAAGCCTACTTTACAAAGAGATGCATATGTGCATTCGCAGAAAAGATCAAAATACAAACATAAAAGAGTTATAGTAAAACAAAGTAGCTATAATAACCAGTTTATGTTAAAACAAAAATACAACAATAAAAAAATCAAGGAAAGGCCCTGCTGTATATTCACTGTTTTAGAGGAGAGTGCCATTGAATGTGTAGCTAATATTAAGTGGATTTTCATGAAAAAATAAATAAATCAGAACTGAACAAACACTGGATTAAAAAAAAAAAACTCAGCACAGGACACGGTTTGAGTGAGAGGAGAGACACGTTTTAAGTGTGCGCACTCTCTCCGGACGAAAGCAGCGTGTATCTGAGCGCGTGCGTCCGGTTTTCTGCGAGAGCAAAGGAAATCCGACCGTGAGCGGAGAGATTCGCACAATGAGGGTGAGTAATTAATGACAGAATTTTCATTTTTGGGTGAACTAACCCTTTAATAAATAGCAACTGTTTTCATTTAATGACTCCAACTCTGATGTGCAGAGTTCATGATAGTTTATAAGCCAAAGATCTTTTGTGATTTGTTAAGATTTTTGCAGTAAGTCTGTAAAAAAAAAAAAAAAAATGAATAAAATAAAATGTAATCTGGTCAGTTCTATAGAGGCATTTGTATTGTGATACATTGCCCTGATTGTAACCTACATCAGACAAGCTTTCTAAAGTGAAACAGTAGCTGAGGGCAGTCACACTCACAGAGGACAACATTATTCTTAGCACTCAGCATAGTTCAAATAGCTGCTATTTGATGTCACCTTACTTATCTAGTGTTGATGGGCCAGAACAGAATCAGTAGAAAAAAAAAAAACTTTCTTGCCTCTCAGACTCTGATAGACTGGAAAGTCCTTGGCAAAACAAAATAACCATAGACTTTTCATATGTGTGGAAGGAGATGGAAAAAAGAAATAGGTTTTGTCTAGGAAGAGCAAGAATAATGTTTTGCAACTTAGAAGTGGTTCGGCTATCATACTCAATGTGAAAGCGTCCCACCCCAAGAAATGTATTTCAGGCCTCTTGCTTTATCCCAATGCTAATGCTTTATGCTATGCTGAACCATAACTGTAACTTCAAAAGAAGTGTGAACTCTAGCATTGTGCACTCTTATTTCCCTTCCCATTACCCTGAATGCTGGTTAGTGGATGGCTGCTTTGGGATCTCTCTGAATGGACACTTTTATCTTTATCCTAAATGCGTTTCCTCTCTATTCTCAGGATGTGGAAAGGCTCCCGTTATTCATTTCTTTACACTTTTTTTTTGCCTGTTGACTGAGTGTATGGTTAACGAGAACGTATAATATGTTTCAAAACCTACAGCGGTCTCCTGAATGGCATCCTGTTATAAGCTGCAGCACCTTTACGTATGAGGAAACTGATAAGAGTCAGAAAATTGTTCAGTGCTATACAGCATCACTCAGCAGTGTGTCATGTCAGTATCATTTAGCGTGCCATATGAACACATCCCACTTCCCATATGCTGAAAGCCATTTTGAGAACTTACCGTAGAGCCGATGTAATTGGAAGCTTTGCGCTGTGAAACTGAAGGCAGCCATTCCGAGAAGCCGTAACAGAAAGATGTCATCATCATCACAGTGATCTCATGGTAGAAAATGTATTGCGTCATTTGTTCTGAATCGGTGGCATTAAAGCGTTTGTGCACGAAGATACCTCACTAAACTGATTTCAGAAAGGCTTCTAATGCAGCGTAATGGTAAAATCATCTACAACAAAATATATTGTTGTATATTCCTATTGCTAGAAATTAAAGGGGTCATGACTAGTGATCGACCGATATTGATTTTTTATAACCGATAGCGATACCAATTGTTTGCATGTTTATGTGCCCGATAACCGATATGCAGAACCGATATTTACTTACTGTTATAAAGTAAATAAATGACTGAGTGAATTAAGTCCATACTTCACTTTGGTTTTTCCTCCTTTCAGTCATCTTAAAAAAAGTTGTCTTTCATGTTCAATTTAATCTTCATATTACAACAATAAAAAAAAAACATTTTATTTAAAGCATCAGCAGCAACACTAATATTAACAATAAGCAAAATAAATGTAGAAGGTCTAATGTTTTCAAAATGGAGAAAATAGATAATGGAAAGGAGTCATATCATCTTCATTTTAAACTACAGTTTTAGTAGGTTTATAAGCTGTTTAATAGGCTAAAGAGTGAAGAATAATTCACTGGATAATGTTAATTCACTGAATAATATTCTCTGGAATATTGAAATTATTGAATATTGAAATATAACAAACAAAACATCGTATTTTATTGCATTCCTCAACTGGCACGTTATATCAGAATTACTAATAATGTAATTATTACATTATTAGTAATAATAATGTTATTACTAATAACATTATTAGTAATAATACTAATTATTACTAATTAGCAGTAAATATTACCCCCCCCCCCAGAGTTTATGTCACACTCTAGTAAGTTTCGTCTGTGTGTGATGGCGGCGTTTATCGGTGAATCCGATATTACAAAACCGATATCCGATTATTGTAAAATGCTTAAATATCGGTAAACCGATATATCGGTCGATCTCTAGTCATGACATGGGTTTTTTGGTTTGTTTTATTACGTTCCCTTAGGTGCAATTATAATATTACTAGTGCTGGGTGGTATGACCAAAAATTTATATCACGGTATTTTTCTAAATTATACCGGTTTCACGGTACATG